TTTCTAACTTCTGTAGTTGTATGTTTCTAGTTACAAAGGGAATCTCATTAATAAATACTATTTTTACCACTTCAGTGAAATGCAATTGGCAACTTAACATTCAGATACATGTGAACAGATGAGGATAGTTGGGCAGAAAGTTGAAGAGTACATCATTCTACTTAGAATATTTTTCTGGCAAAACAAAAATTCATACCTTCTTATCTTTTCAAAATTATTATTAAAAGTGACATCTTACATTGTCAGCCAAAGACAGAGTCTCCTTGTAACTTCTTTCTTTTGCATATTAAAGAGCACTTCTGTTCCATTATTAGTCACAAAGACAGTTTGCTGAATAATTTCCTTTGTTTGTAAGACTGCTACAACAATAGAAAGAACATCTTGCAAAAGTAAAAAGGTCTTACTAAAATAATTATAAAAAAATCTGTGCAATTCAGACCTCAGTCACATACTCTACGTTTCCATCAATTAAACAAAATGCATTACTGAGTTAGAAGCATCACTTTACATTTCTTCAAAACTGCATAAATGAACAGGGAAAGGTGAAAGAGACCTAAAGATACTGTGGTCGTTGATTTTTTGCTTTAATATAACTTCTATATCATATAGTGAACATTGTACATATCAGAACACATTGAAGAGCCCTTCAGTTACAGGTCAATATTGTAAAAACTCATCACCGGTCTCTCCCCTGTGCAAACAGAACTTGAAAAACAGCCTCAATTAAAACACTAGTACATCTAACAACAGCCAGTTCCAAGCTGAACCAGCAGCCTAGCTACAGAGCACTGGACAGACAAAAAAAAAAAAAAGATATATTTTTCTGGGCTGTTCTCAAGTTCCCCAGACTCTTTCACGTCCATGGTAAATAACCAAAGGAACAGCTTACACAATTCTCGTGACTCTCTTAAAAATATTTGGCTGTTACCAGCCAAAAAAAAGCAAACCTTCCACCATATTAGACTAAACAGCAGATGTATATATTTCAGAAAACTTTGTTCCTCTCTTCTGCTACTTCAGGAATTGTAAGAGGCTGAATGAAGCAAATTAGTCCACTGCTAAGATAAGGGCTCCTCTTTCCTTAGACACACCTTGAATTCACACTGTCAAACAGATAAGAATTTGAAAATAAGTATATGTACTGGCATTAAATGAAAAACAGATGAATGTCTTGTTTACTTCTATAATACAATGAAAAATACCTTTTCCAATTTTTCAGCTTCCAGAATTCAACAGTGTGTCCATTTGAAGACATACAAACACTGCAACCACTAAGCTACATTGCACACAGAAGTCACAGATTTCAGTGCTGCAATGCCAGATTTCTGAAAAACTGATTACACTTCCTGTAGCTGGGAAGTACCTGGTTCTATATTCTGCAGCCACTGGATGTTACATAATTGCTTCCAAATTTGCACATTTTCAAGACACGTATAGTATAGTTACATACTTCAAATGAGCATTCATTTTAAAATACATGCAAATTAGTTTTTGAGGGTTTCCAGAAAAGTCTTCCTACCGCCATCAATAATTTAGACACCCTTCTCAAATATGTATGAATCTGCAAAAGGAAACCATACAAGCAAGACACTGCAAAAGTACCGCAAACCCTCTTGTGCAGATTAGAAACAGACCTGCCACACAGTCCATCTTGTGCATCTATGAAACCACAACAGCATTATGTGAAGTGGGAGCAAGTCCTAAAGACGACAATTACAACACCTTTGGTTAGCAAATCTGAGTTCTGTACTGGCACCATACTGACATCATATTCACACCAGGATTCAGATAATTGCAGATATTCAGTAAGCGCTACAATCAGTACTGGCAAATTTTCAAGTCTTAAAAGCTAAAAATAAATCTTCCACCAAAATTAGTTTTATTTCAGTGGAAGAATTGTTAACTTCAAAGAAGCTTTTATGATGTTTTGAAATGAGAAGTCAACCCTCCTGCATTGTTTCCAGCCTCAGTACTGCAGCATGGAGTATCTAAGAAAACAAAAGTAATGAAGGCAAGCTCTTAAAAAATAAAAAGTGAAATTTCATATAATTTTAATTTTAACATCTGAATATCCTCAAAGGCAGCGGTTTCTTTTTGGGTCTTTATTTTTACAGTTATGTCTTCATATACATATAAAGAAGTTTTAACTGAATAATTTGAGCTAAACAGTGTGGCCACACTTAGCCTTGACAATATTTATGGTCCCTTTCCCCATTTAAGCATCAGTCACCCCAAGGCTCCTACTTCCCCAGCAAAAATCAGTTGGCAAAAAAAGACAATTCAGGAACAGGCTAGTTTCCTAATAAGAATGAAAAATTAATCACCACTAACAGCTGTATTTCAAGTTTTATAATCCTTGCATAAATTCTAATTACACTACATAACTTGAAAATGATTTTCCTTCGCATTATTCATTGAAGACAGGTTTACTTGCTTTTCCCTTTTCAGTACAGGACAAATAAGATGCAATATCCTGCTTACTATATCAGTTGCTTCTTGATAAAATATTTGGAAGGGCTATGAGAATCAGGGCAAATGAAGCACAAGGTACTGGGTTACTCACACTGGTTATTATTTATCACTAATCTTTCCTTCAGGGGTTCCACTTGGGTACTGTAACTACAGTCACTGGGCAGCTGTATTCTGGTACCACTACCAGGCAGAAAGCACTAGAAGATTCAAGCAAATAGCAAATGCAGAGTATTTTTGTCAAATGTATGGAGGAAAATGAATAAATAAATGCTAATAGTGCTTGAGAGTACACCCCTGGTACCACAGTCACATGGGCACCAATGAAAAGGGAGTGGAGACGTGACTTTGCACAAACAAGTCAAGACTGCAGGGATTTTTCCTATGTCTGAAAACTTAATTGTCCATCAAACTTTAACAGTGAGCTCATGAACCAAAGAAGCCTTGGCTTTCACAGCATGCTCAAGATATTGCAAAGTGGAAGATTTCTATGCCACAAAATATGCACTTTTCAGCTCTTTCCTACATAAGCTTGAAATTAGTATCCCGGGCATTAGGGACAGAGCTAGAAGGCCCCAATATGACCTGCTCCAGACTCCAACAAGTGCTCAGTTAGGAAAGGCCTTCATGTTCTGAGTAGTTAGTATGAATCTGGAGCATGCACTCAGATCCTGATCCAGACCCTGCACACCTGGCACACAAATTCATCCGTAGGCCAGGCCATGTGTCAGACAGAACAAAGCAAAACATCTCGAATGCATACCAGATGATGTAAAGTCTTAGATAAAGTAACCAATTTAGTAAAAGCAAGGAATCTAAACACTACACAACTGAAAAGCATGCAGTGTGATGGCAAGTGCATTATGCTTTACATGCTACTTGTTAAGCAGAGAGAAAGGACAGATTAAAAAATGCACCTGTTCCCACATTACAAGAAGTTTGTCAGTGAGGTAGCTGCACATATGGGCACTGCGAGGTAGCTGTGCATACGGGCACAGAAGGCTACAAGAATACACATGGAAACTGGTCTAAGTAAAAAAGGAACCCAACATAACACAAGTATAAATGGTACTATCAGGATGCTTCTCTTTAAATCACACTTATCTTTAGGTAAACCAGCAACCACCAATGCTAAAATACATTCCAGGGAACTATTATTAAAAGTTTAAAATATCTAAAACCTTAAAAAGAAAAAATGCCATCCCTTCAATTGATCTTCTTAGCAATTATAACAAAAAACAAACAACTGCTGCCTCCAAGTATGCAGAAAACATTTTTCTTAACTCAGTACAATACTCTGAAACAAATAGCGATGAGCAAGATTGATGGACTCTGCAACTCCATCAGCAGGCTTTCTGAACTGTCTAGTTCAATGAGTTACATTATTCAGAAAGAAAAACAGAACCTATTATAGAAGGAATAAAGAGCACCATGGGCACTGATTTATCCATCAATGGAAAGACAGAGACGGCAATAAAGGCTTTGATGTTTTGTTGTTTCTAATTTTTTTTTTTTTAATGGAATAACTTAGAGCTTAAAAGAAAAGCATTTTTAATTGCAATACAATCAAATGGCATACAACTCTATATCACTCCTTCAATAAATTATTTGGAAAAGACAAGTTGTGGCCATAAAGCTGTTTTTTACCTTAACTGGTAGACTTAACTTTGAGGGCAGAAAAAAGTATGTACATGAGTTTGGCTTTTTTTAATAAATATTTTTACTAAAACCTTTAAGTAATTACAATGGAAACATTCTTCTGACCTAATGGTGAGTGGTGAGTCAACAAACTAATCCTTTTTTTTTTTTTTTTTTTTTTTTTTTTAATAAGATTAGCTTTCAGATCAGAACACAAAACTCAACAGCAACAGCACTGCAAAGGAGGCAGAAACGAGTGTTGGGCTGGCAAAGGGTGGGGCAGAACACAAAACTGTATCTAGTCATTCTATGAACTGAACTTACCATCAAACTGCAACTTTGGTCATTTTAGCTCTATGGCTTTAAACCTATAAAAGCCTTCTCTTGAGCACAGTCCTATTTCATACTCTATCAATTACAGGTTTTATAACTGATAAAGCTGTTTTCCTAGAATGAGTCATTATGATCTCAAGAAAACATAGGAAGAAACAGGCAGCCCACTACATCACTTATTTGAAATATCCTCACAACATCCAACCATTACTTGAAATCAAACCAATCTACAAAAATCCGACAGTAAAAGACAGAGATTAAAGTTTATGCATTTTGTGGTTTCCTACCACTGCTGAACAAAGATGACAACTCCCATGAAACTCAGTGAATATTGGAAATACTTCCCTTTTTGTGACCACGCATGTTTTATTTTGCAATTTCAAAATTCTACTTTATTTCATGATTTTTTTTTTAATTTACGGTGTCAGCATCAAAAGATTTTGCAATACAAATACACAACACTAAAATTAAAAAAAAATAAGGCATTAACATTAAGGAGCAGATAACTCACGAATGCAATTCACAAGCTAGGAAAGTAGTTTTTACAAAATGTTGCTTACCTTTTCTAATGCAGATTAGCTCATGTACACCACAGGTTCGTTCTCCACCTATTTGAAAATAAAACATTAGAAAATATTGATGAATTAAAAGTAATTGGCTTCTTAATAAAACTTGTAAGCAGTGGAAAGGAAAAAGCAGCAAAATCTATCATTTAAGAAAATGCAAATGATTGTTTTATTCAAAGAGTATTCCATATAAACTGAAGACTTGCTAAATAAGTAAATGTATCTTTGGCTTAGCGTTGTGAATGATAATCCAGTTGTAAGAGTTTTACAGAAAATTAGTACTGAGAAAATTAAAAACACAATCAAATTAGCAGAAACACTTCTAAAAACATTTATGATGCATAAAGCATCATTTCCCATTTCAAAGGAACCACCATCTACACAAAAATTCTCAAAAGATCAGAAATACTTCTAACACAATGAAATGCCAAAATAATTTCAGCAGTATTTTGAAGAATAAAAATTAAACAAAGAAAAAGAGAGAGAGAGAGAGAGAGAGAGCCTGTAAGAGATAGGAGGGGCAGAACTAACTTGGAATTTCTCTTCAAGAAGTTTGTTGTTGGTACTGTTTTGTTTTTAATGAAATTCAACAGCAACAACAAAACAATAGCTATAAATAATTTGAGACATGTATAAGGGAATAGCAAAGCTGTTGCTAGAAATACTAAACTTCAGTTTAAAGCATTTTAATGTTAGAACTAGTACAGAGGAAAACAACACATAATATACCTAGTGAGGACACTAAGGGAACAATATTGGAAGAATACATTTCAATTATGTTGAAGGAGCAATACTTTTCATGTCACCCGTGACACATGTGGGACAGAAGCCAGAACGACCTACTCCTAAACCCTCCTAAAGGAGGAACTGGCAAAACTGCTGAAGAGATTATTTTAATGATATTGAGAAACTCCTGAAAAAAGTTTATTTTTATTATGATTCCTTTATATTGAATACATTTACACTATTCATGATCTTATTCTTTTTTAAATTGACATATTTTGGAATGATATTCCTGAAAGTCAAACCTTAACCACACCTTAATGCCTACTAAGCCTGTTTTCACTGACTACAAAATAATAATTTTTAATAGGAACATCATAGAATCATAGAATCACAAGGTTGGAAATGACTTGAAAGATCATCTAGTCCAACTGTCCTCCCATTACCACCGCTACCACAAGCACTAAGCCATATCTCACAGCTCCTCATCCAGACGCCTCTTGAACACTGCCAGGGACAGCGACTCCACCACCTCCCCGTGCTGCCATTCCAGTGCCTGACCACTCTCTGAGAGAAAAAGTTCTTCCTTACGTCTAACCTAAACCTCCTCTGGTACAACTTTCGGCCGTTTCCTCGGGTCCTGTTTCTTGCCTGCAAGAAGAGGCCAAACTCCTCCTCATCACAATCTCCATTTTGCAAATTGTAGAGTGCAATGAGGTCTCTTCTGAGCCTCTAGATTAACCAGTCCCAGCTCCCTCAGCCACTCCCCATAAGACTTGTGCTCCAGACCCCTCACCAGTTTCATTGCCCTTCTCTGGACACATCCCAGGACACATGGAATACAGAACTGAAGGGTTCTGTTCACGTATGTAATTAGGCACGGTGCTCTGAAACTTTAGAGAAACAGAACTGTTCTGAAAATCCACAAACAACCTATTTCATATATAGTAATCACTACAGGGCTCCAAAAGCTTTAAGACACTCTAAAACAAGCTGTAGGTAACAAAATACTTTCCACTGACAAAAACATGGAAAAAGGACGTTATGATACAATATCAAAAACATTCAAATACAAATTGTAGGTAACAAAATTGTTCCCATCTCATAAAAACGTGTGCTATACAACACTTCCTTCATTCCATAAAGAAATGATGCCATATAATAAAGGATTTTATAATATCAGTTGATATTTAAATCTCATAACTGAAAAGTGCCAACTGCTTATAACAATAAGAGTTTTGAGAGGACATGTCTTGTAGTGAAATTCACATTCTAAACAAACAACTGTAAGAAATCCATCTATTACAGGAAAAAGGATAAAATGGATCAAATAAGTGGAATAAAACATAACTCTTCTACAACAGAATGCCTATGAAGTATGAAGTTAGAAAGCATCCTCATTTTGAGTTTCTGTTTGTGTTTTGTTTTGTTTTTTTAATACTCAGCAATCTAAACCACAAGTCTTGAAGATACTTCTGAAAGGGAAACCAAATACCAGTGAGCCGGCCTGATGTTTTGTACAGTCATCATCATTACAAAATAAAGCAATTTAGAAGATGCTGAAAGGAGAGTATTATTAAGGACTGACCAGTGCCATTCTTATGTTTGCCTTTCAAAAACCTTTTTGGAATAAGAAAAAATAGGTTTAAAAGAATCTTGGCTTATGCCATTGAAGAAATCAAATTTGAGGAGATCAGAATGTTCTCTGAAGTCATTGCAGCCATGACTTCAAAACACTTCTCCCCAGATTTTCTCTTCCCAGTAGATATAAATTCAGAAGCGAACAAAAAAAAACCTAATAAAAAAATATTTTTTCATAAAATATCCACCTAGAAATGTTTGTGAGAAGACCAGTGAGCAGCATTAGACTTTCATTGTACGCTGCAGCCACTGAATTCAACAAGCATAAAATCCCATCATAAAATACTAATGTTATGGATTTTGCATTGTTACCTTCTGTTCTATAAAGAAAGGTATCTTTTTCAATTGTTTACATACTAAGACATGATGAGGTTTCACTAAATAAAGCCTTTGCATTAAGCCTTTTAAATCAACTATGATATTATGTGGAAGATTTACACAATTTAATTCATTATATACATTTTTGACTATTTATTTTCCTGCAAACTCCCAAATGCTGTATCACATCTAATAGGTAATTAATCTTTTACTCTTTTTCTAAATTGCTTTCAAATGGGAACTGATTGTTAAATAAAAATAAAGTGACCTACATGTTTTGTAAATAAAGTCAAAGAAAGCATCTTTTGTATTTAAGCAATTAATTAAACATGCAAAACATTATCCTCAAGAGAGTCAGGAAGATTTTTCTTTTCCCTTGCGTACTTCAAAATTGTGGAACTAATACATCTTTGACATCTTGCTTTTATTCACAGTTTAACAAATGAATACAATTTTCCTGTCCTTAAAGCTCTCAAGAAGGCTCTCAGCTTTGAATAATAATGAACAGCGATTGAAAGAAACTAAACCATAAATATGAAAATATTTTGCATGACTGTATGAAGTCAACTGTTAATTCAGCATTCCAGCAGTCTGAAAAGATTGGTGTAGACTGCTTTTGTCTTGGTTAGCTGACAGATCTCTTATCAATGCTACGACCCTCGGAAATTTTCAGTCTTTGAATGTAAAAGTAACTGATGTTAATACCGTGGCAGGTCACCACAGTTCTACAGTTCATAGTCTGATTCAGATATAAACTGTTATTAATTCTACTCCATATTGACTATGAGCATCATATTTTATTTAACAATTTAAAGTTTAAGCAATTTTGCATATGAAACTACAGAGCACAGCAAAAGGCAGCTGAAACATTTGATGAAGTTTAATTTTCTCAATTTAAAATACAGGTTTGTACACCAAGTCTCTATTTGCAAATACAACTATCACAATTATTACACCAAAAACGTGAAAAGGTGTGCATTAAAGACACACCACAGATAAAACCACACCAGAATTATGCATCAATTAAACTGTAAAATTTGTATCCTTCTAAAGCTAGTACAATTCAAAATCCAGAAATCTATTATGTTTGGAGTTGAGCTGTAACTCCACTACTAAGTGCTGAGAAGGACTAGCTAGAAATGGTTGCATTGCCATTGTCATGGAGGTAATCAGACTGGGAGCGACTTCTGGCTCTGTGAGGGATTTCAGAGCAGGATCATCTTGCCAGTATGTTTCTCAGGGCCAACCAAGCCAACCAAGTTCTGCAAGAGATTCTCTGAACGCCTTCCTTACTCTCAGTTGGCATTTCATGTTTAGTAGCTCACACCAGTTACCTCATGCTTTCGCTGCACACCTCTCCTCACGTGCCAAGTACTACAGCCTCCACCAGCTTGGCAGCACTCTGCTGGAACTTCTTCTTTGCTGGTATCTCTCAGACTGGGTTTACAGCCCTTTACAGAGACAGCTGACACTGAGGCACACAGCTGATCCATCTTCAACTTGCTGATCACCAGAACTTCAGACTCTTTTGTGCAGAAATGCTCTTGCCAGCCCTCTGCCAGCTTGCAGTGATGCCTGTGTTTGCCAATCCTGAGCGGTGAAGGACTTTACATTTGTCTGCTGAGTTTCATATGGCCCATTCTTTCAGCTTGCTGAGCATATGCCTTATCACATCCCTGCCCTCCTGCATACTAACTGTTCCCCTCTCTGCTGTCATCCACACAAACTCAGCAAAGATACATTCCATCCCTCTGACAAATATGTCTAAGTCTCAATTCCAGAATCAATTTTGTGGTGCAAGTCAGGACGCTGTATATAAAACAAGTTATTCTTCAGTTTAGTAGCAAATCCACACATTAGTACTTGCAGTAGAACTACATCACATCATTGAAGTCTGTCATCAGGTGTGACTCCAGAGGCAGACTTTTTATGTGACAACCTCCCGATTGAGGTTTGCATTTTCATTAGCATTTTCATAAGTTTGGACAACTTTCAGCAATCACTCACTTAATATTTTACTCAACATTAGACAATTGTTTCTTTTAACCCATGATCTCCCAGTGGAGAATTACAAAGCCATGCTTGCTAAACAGCATAACTGGTGAAAAATCCTGTATTAAATGAATGGATAGCTAACCACAGAAAAACAATAAAAAGAGCCAAAACCACTTCACAGAAGGGTAACTCTATTGCTGGTATCAGCATGGTGTTTTTCCTTAAAAAATTACATGGACTCATCAACCCATCTCACCCACAGTGTAAAATCACCTTTGCATTCCTGTGGCACTCTTTAAAATTTTAGTCTACAAGTCTACAATACTGCAAATGTAAAAAAATGAAATGTTTACAATT